AAATTCTTCCTGTCCTTTATATTGTATGCAAACAACACTCACTTGGATATAGTACTCACACCCTTCATCCCAACTGTGGACCATGAATCAGTTACAAACTCTAGAAGTCTTCCCCATGACCATATGAGGCTTTGTGCAGACATCTATACAGAAACCATAGCATTCTATCCCTGAGCCCCATATACTCATGCACATCTTTTTTTTGTGAAAGACATTAGTCCATCTGTAAGAATTACCGAAGTCCTAACAGTTTCAGCATTGCTGAAAAGTCCAAGTCTCAAATCTCCTCCAAGATATAAGGCAAACTCTTAGCTTCAAGCCCCTATACAAATGAAAAGTTAAACACTTTCATTTTCAATGGCACAAAATAAACATTAGCATTCCAAATGGTACAAACAAGGAAATACAGAAGAATAGGATCATAGCAAGTCGAAAATCCAGCAGGGCAAACATTAAATCCTGTACTTCCATGTGAAACATTTGAAGAAATCTCTGGTGAGTTGTGAGCTCCAAAAGGCTTGTGTAATTCTGCCCCTTTGGCACTTCTGGTTGTTGTAGCTCCCATGACTTCTCTTTTAGGTCTTCTGTGCTCAATCCTTGCAGCTTTCTTTAGATAACCTGTGGTTCTGGCTTTTCCAAACTTCTGGGATCTCCAGTGCATCTTTGTTTTCACCCTCATAGCTTCATTCACTGGCCTTTCATGGACACACTGCCTAGGCTCTCCGGCCTTCTGAAATTGGGGTGCAATCTTTTTTAACCTCAGAACTATTGCATTCTGCATGCACCTAAAAACATTGCCATTTAGATGATGCCAAGGTCTTCTGCAGCTGCAGCAGTATCAAGGCTTTCTTCTCTCTTGGGTGTAGGGATTGAATAACTGGATTGCTGAGCACTCTCAACCTGATTCTGAGGAACAAATTCTGTATGCTGACACCCTTTTGAGATCTGGTGCATCTACTGCCATTTTGGAACCTAGTGCAGCAGGTCACCATTCTGGAACATAATGTGTCTGCTGCTATTCTGGAACCTGACACTCTGCAGCTTTCTTCTCACAGCCACGTCTTTCACATTTGTAGTTTTGAGGCTGCAAATGGTGGAGACCTGCTGCTTCTTGTGATGCCCTCAGGGCATATTTTCTATTCTCTTGTACTTTGTCAGCTATCAAGATCTCTTCTGCTCTGTCTTTGTAGTCCACAGCTTTATTGGAGCTTCCTTTCTGGACAAACTCACAACATTTAAAATCATATTGCTGGGTTCTTTGCTTTTGATTATCAACAAGATCTGGGCTAAAAGCCCCAACTATAACCATGCCACCTCTTCAACATTAGATTGCCTTGAAATTTCTTCTGCCTGATTACTTAGTCTGCCAGCGTTAATCTTAGTCTCTGCAAAATCTTTGGACAAAAGCAAAATGCAGACAAACTTTTTGCCAACCTATAGCACACATATTCTGTAGTCCAACAACCATACAGTCCTTCCCAGCAGAAACCTCCTGAACCTAGTCTTCACTGGCAGAATTTCTATGATCCTCTGGTCTTCTTAGTTCTGACCAGAATCTCCCATGCAGAACAGTCTAAGATGTGCCAGCTGTACTCTTTCAGGTGGCATTTCTTAGTCTTTCCAAACTGTTCCCACAAGTCATTCCAAAGGGCTCTTGAATCACATGATCAAGTATAGTCACACACTACTTCTCTGGTACCAAATTCTATGTTGGGTTAGCTTATAGTTTGTGGAGGTTTTAGTCCATAATCTGCTGGCTCCAAGGCAGAGTGGCACATGGCATATGGCAACAGTTCATGGTGGCAAGAGACAGCAAAAACAGCAAAAGCAAAAAGGGAGGAGTTTATAAAGAAGATTCTTTCTGACCATTATATTGTATTTAGGCTACCCACCCTAAAATTGTAGCACTACATCCATAATCCCAGTATTGATCCATGAGTCAGTCACAAATTCCAGAAGCCTTCTCTCATGACCAAATAAGGCTTTGGAGGGACATTCAGACCCAAAACATAACAATATGTATGCTGGTCAGGCTGTGGTGAAATACTTGTTCATACACAAACATATATGTGTATATATATATATATATATATATATGTATAGATATATGTGAATAAATAACATTTTACATATTTAAATATGTATAGTTATGTAAGCATTTGTAGAAAGTATTTGATGGAGGGGGCACAATTTAGGATGTATAAAGTATTACCATATGTTTCAATCTTTTTTTGCCTTGGAATTTCAAGATTTTCCATCTAGGTCTACACACACACACACACACACACACACACACACACACACACACCTTTTAGAATGAAGTTTCCCCAGATCTTATTTGCCATGCATATTAGTTTTCCCTTTTCTTACCTGTCAATACCTAGAGTTCCAGTGGTGTTTTAAAAGTTGCATTGACTGAAATTTTCTATTTTAATTTAATAGTTTCACATGTAAGATTTGTGGCTTCTGTTTGTCTTCAAAAGCACCTGGATTTCTTAAAGAACTATCTGTGATGGCTCTGTGGTTCCATTTCTGGTTGACTAATAATCACTTTTATTTTTTCTTATACAAAATGTCTTTTTAAAGAACCATGTGTATTCTAAATTATCAAAAAGAGAGTCTTTATATTTCTCATTATCAAGATACAATTAATTTTCATGTTTTCATTTGGGACCCAGCATGTGATTCCCAATTGTATCTTTTCACAGTCTCCAGAAGATTTTAAGAATTGTGGCTGATCCTACAGAAAGCAATGCAAAACATTACAAAAAACCTCGGTACAGTATATTGGCAATGTATAAGGGTTACCTGAGAACATATCTATCACTTAAATGTTTTTACCTTTAAGGCCTGTACATCATAAGTACATATAAAAAGTAATGGCACAAATTTAAAAGTAAACTACAGGAAGCTTGTTTTTTAGGGGTAAGCATTTTCACTGAACAAATATTTTACTTTATGCATTATATTTCAGATATACTTTAAAATGGCTATTTTCAGAACCAGGTATGGTGGTGTATGCTCATAGTCTGAGCTACACTGGAGGCTGAAACAGGAGAATTACTTGAGGCCCAGCATTTTGAGACCATCCCAGGGAACATAATGTGAACTTTTCTAAGAACAAAACAGTGTCCTTTTGTTTGTGATTAATTTTGTTTTCTTAAATATGATTTTTTATAATTTGTGTTTTCACAGCCTAAACAGATTTCTCCTTTGCATTGCAAATATCATTACCTGGAAAATATGATTATAAATAGGAAAGAAAATGTTTTTTCTTTTTATTTTATTTACAAATTTACATTTATCATAAACAATCTTTTGAATCTTAATCTTTTCTTACTGAGTATTCAGACGACTCATAAAATATCTATGTAGAAATGTGCAAAATGTCTTAAATTATTACTGACATTAAGTATCATTACTTACTATAACATATGTACAGTATATTGTCTATGAAAGAAACTGTATTTTTCTCCTGCTCAAGAATAAAATTTTTTAGCAAAAATTGTAAAGTGATTAATATTTTAGTTCTCAGGTTATTGAACCACAGGAAAAGACCTGATTAATTAGCAAAGTGCACTTAGGATACAATAGAGTGGGAAAGAAGCTGCTCAGTGTACGTGGTGAAGTGCATGTGTGAAGCTTACTGGCAGAGGGCTTAGGGGTTCTAATATCCCCAAGGCGATCAAGAGAGCCAGCTGTGTGTCAACCCTGTCACAGAAGCTGGAAAATAGCTCTCAATGCCAGCAAAGCTGCATCTGATATGTGCCAAGAGCAGGTGTTGTTGCTAGTAGGTAAAATATGTTTCACAGCTTGAGACCTATGTTTTATTAGAGGTACTTGTGGAAAGCTGCAATCTTTGTAACTAATGGAAAGTTAATTTGTTTTTCATCCCGGATGCGTGTGTGTGTGTGTGTGTGTGTGTGTGTGTGTGTGTGTGTGTTGGTGTGTGTGTTAAGGTGGTGATGTAAAAACTACAATTAATGGCAGATGCATTAATTGGGGTCATATTTACCCTTTTTGGGGGGGTAGGTACAGAGAGTTGAACCCACAATATTTACCTTTTTATTTAAAACAATTGATATAATTTTTACACAGGGAAGTTATAATCATTGTAGCAAAAGACAAGAATATAATGTGACCTTTCTTTCTCTTTTCTTTTCTTTCTGTCTTATTTCTGCTTATTCTGGGAATTCTTTGGCTATGTCTTACTGTGCTAATGATCCTTTTTCATAATGAAGCAATATATTAAATATTAAATTTGCCATTAGTTATTTATGACTCATAACTAGTATTCATAACTTGATACTGAAGAGCATCATTGAAAACTGACTTGTGAAAACAGCACAGTAATGACATAGCAATCTAGTTTTTGCCTCAGATGCATCACTAATCAAATGTTCTAGCATAATGTCTGACTTAGGAGGATTCATTCCTCAAACTTTCAAAATTCAGCATTAAAGAATTGTCCTACTTTAACATTGTGTTTGCATGATTCTCACTTAGCATTATAATCAGGTCCCAGTTAGAAGGTAACTTTGTTTCCTTTTAGTAGTCTAGTATTATTTAATATCTTAAGATATAGATATCTTCATCATAGTTTACATTTTAGGTACATGATTAAATTTTAATTTTTATTCATTGATTCTATTTTGTTCTGTATTCTATCTGAAAATGTAATATAGAGTAGTTTGTCCCACAATTGAAAAAAATACTTGTTGTATGTAATTTTGTGAAATCCTAAATTTTCTTTAGAAAGTCAAGAATATCATGTGAAAATGAATTCTACAGATGGCATTGATCAAGACAAATTATTCTGGGTTTACTGTTGGGGGATTAAAAGAAATAATGATTCAAATGTTTGTACAAGAGTCAAAGTAATTTGATGATTGTAGAAAATCAAATGCTTTAAATCTGGAACTTTCCAAAAAACGGTATGAAAATGGAGAACTTTGTACACATTTTAAATTAATTTTAACTTCATATTTTCTCTCCTTTAGGGTGTGGTCAGGCCAACTGGGGGATACGCTGTAATGCTAAACTGGACGATGTCTTCCATATACGGACTTAAACCTGGAGAGGTAACCTTGATTTTAAGTTTGCCCCACCTGCAGTTTTTCTTAATACCAGGTATGTGTGTTTCATTTCTTCTCATTTTCTTTAGGTATGGTGGGCAGCTTCTGACTTAGGCTGGGTCGTTGGACATTCCTATATCTGCTATGGACCTCTCCTGCATGGGAACCCTACAGTTTTATATGAGGTAAGAAAATAAAAATTATATCTTAACAAGTAATACTTAGTTCCCTGAAATATTTTCAAAAGTAATCCTGAATAGGATCAGTAAAATATTGATGGAGATAAGAAACAGTTTTATATCTTCTTTGAGTTAAAAGTAGATTTCAGAAGACAAAGAGAAATATAGAAAATAACAGCTATTGCAATTGCATTGAAGAACAAAGTAAAAAATAAACTTTGGACCTCGTATACTATTGAGCTCAATTACTTTTGGGATTAATTTCTACCTATTGTGGATATCTAGAAAGGATCATCAAACTGATACTAACTGCAGAGGCAGAAAAAAGGAAATGCTTATCATAGAGCAGCTAACATTGATTCACATTTTTGTATTTGTTCAGAATTAATGGATTTTCAAATATATTTTGTCTTAGTTATAGCTAAGTACCTTCCAAAGATTTTGATAAGAATTCTGCACATAAGGGAGAGAAGACTGTACATTTCTTGAAAATATGTTAGTGTTACCCTGGAATACAGTTTCTGAGTTTATAATAGAAATTTCCCTTATATGTCTGTTCTCTTTCATTTTAGCAATGCTTTCATGAAGGCTCAGATGACATATTCATCAGATTTGGAAGGGGTCAAAGTCTTAGGGAGATAAACAGTATGGTACTTTGCTAAATTAACATTCAGAATAGCCCTGGCCATTTTGGGGATAGTTAGCGAAATACAAAGGTACATAAATATTTCATTCTTATATTTAAATTGAAGCATAATTCAGGAATGAATAGGAGAAATGAAGTTGCTTATAGGTTATCACATTAAATGTGTGGGTATAACTGCCCATGTTTAAAACATACGCTATTGGGAGGATTACTTTAAAAATACTCATCGTAGTCAGTGCTATGACTTCACTTTTTCACATTTAAAAGATGGGTGAAATGGAGCAGGCTAAAAAAATTAACTAGCTAAAAAGCTTCAGAAAGAAGTGAACTACAATGGAAAAAAAAATACTTCAAGAGGTGAAAGAGGAGTTACTCTTTTTTTTTTTTTGTATTTTTTTAATTTAAGGAGAAAAAGGGAAAAAAAGCAGAAAAAGGGTACAAGTTATACAGAATTTCAGAAAAAAAAAATAAACAGTAGGAAATCACTAGTTAATGGATTACATATTATCATCTTAGAAATATTTGTTCAAGTTACAAGATTAAAGCATACAAAGTGGACATTCAAACAGCGAGACTGCAAACAGTTCTGTTCAATGATCCAACAAAACTCAGTAATATCATTGTCTATCTTATACACTTAAATTTACATGCAGCTATACCATTTAGAGCACTTTCTTTTCCTCTCTTTTTTACAATGACTATTACACATTTTGGGTTTTATTGCTCCCTTAGTTCTTACTGCTTTTTTTGGAAGAGAGTAAAACCAAATGTGACTTAACAGAACAGAATCCGTTAAATCAAAAGGGTGGACATAATAGATAATGTAAAAACATAATTCAAGGTGATCAAAAATGGTTACCATAATGCCTCCCGCTATCTCAAATAGAATTGCCTATATCATCAGTTATAATAAAATTGAACAAAACAGTAAAGAATGAAACCAACAAAACCAAAACATTGGAGACGTTACAGGTCTTCAAAAAGTCGATAATAGTCAACCAGTATGGGCATTATAATGAATCCCACTATCTTCACAGCTGTTGCCTAAACTTTCGAACCTGGTACTATCAAGCAAAGCAGAATAGAGGAACATCAGTCAAAACAAGATGGTGAGAGCAATACAGGGCTTCAAATCAAATTAATAGAATATCAAAGTGGGTTACTATAATATATCCTGCTTTTTAAAATTTATTTTTCTTTTAATTAAAAGGATAAAAATAAAAAAGTAAATAATAAAATGGAGATTGAGATAAAAGAGGGCATAACAACTAAACAGTACAGATCAATACATAACCATTTAAGCAAATTAGTGTTTCACCACAAGATAATCCCGACATAAAAGTAGTTACCATATTGTCTCTTTCCTTGAGATCTTTGAGTATAACTTCGTATACTGTAGCATCAAATATATAAACACAATGTATAACCATTCAAGAGAATGACAGTATTACAGGGTATTTAGAATCAACTAACAGATAATGAACTATGGTTTCTGTATAATCTCCTTGTCTATAAAAGTTTTTGTTTATACTATCACATATAATAAAATCCAATAAGATACAACATGTTAAGACCTATGGAGACAGAAGAACAGAAGCTTGATGGGACTTCAAAATAAGATGATACCAAATCAGCACTACCTATTATGATGTCGTTTTCTCTAAGATAGCTGTTTCTATCATCCAATCTTCTCTGCCTCATTTCTCTTGAGCTCTTTTTCTGTCATTAGTTGTCAGCTTGTCTTCTTCATTTTTATTTTCTGCTCCATTCATTGTGGCCTCTCTGCCACTATTTCTGGATTCTTCATATTTTTCTTTTTTAGAATATCCTGCAGTATTCTCTGTAGAGTTGAATTAGTAGTTGCATATTCCTCTAGTTCCTCTTTATCCTGAAAGCACCTTGTTTTTCCATCAATTTCCAGGGATAGTTGTGCAGGATATCTCAATCTTGGCTGGAGGTTATTATCTTTCAAAGCTTGTATTATTTCCCCCCACGCTTTTCGTGATTTGATGGTTTGTGCTGAGAAGTCTGCTGTAATTCTGATGGGTGTTCCCTTGTAAGTGATCTGTTTCTTGTCTCTGACAGCTTTTAATATTCTGTTCTTATATTGGATTTCTGGAATTTTGATTATTATATGCCTGGGTGTAGCTCTATTTGGGTTGTAGGTAGCTGGAGTCCTGTATGCCTCATATATCTGAGTGTCTTTACCATCTGCTAAATTAGGGAAATTCTCTTGGATTATTTCTGTGAATAGCTTTTGTTGTCCATTTGTTTGTGTCCCCACTTCTTCTCTTATGTTCTTAATTCTTAAGTTATAGATCCTCTTATCATCCTCTAGTTTTTGTATTGTTGCTGTTTGTTTTTTGGTTATTTTTAAGAAGTTTTTCATTTCATGCTCCCATATTACAAATCTGCCTTCCAGTTCAGCTAATCTATACTTAGTTTCTTTCAAGCTTTTATGCCAGTTTTTGATAGAGTTTTTAGTTTCCTGGTAATCTCTTTGAACCTGCTTCACGTATTCTACGTGTTCTCTATTTTCTCCATCAAATAATTCTCCCCTCTTTTTCTGTTATTCCATTTCATCATCTGCTTTTTCTTGGGTGGTGCTTAGCATTTCTCTGACTATTCTGCTTATGTCTTGCTTCAGGTCATTAATAACTTCATTCCTGAACTCGTCTATGAGGCTCTGGAGATAGCCTTTTATGTCTATTGGTGGTGTGCCTGCTATTGCCTGTTTCTCAGGATTGGGGGCCGAGTAGCCTTTCTTGTTGCTCCCTCTTCCCATATTCTTTGTTCCTTATATATGCAAGCATATATAGGAGGCCCAGCTTCCTTTCCTGTTGGCCACAGTCTGACTGAATTGCACCAGCTAGATGTTCCCGCCCACCGCATCGCACCAGGGAGTTACGTACCAGGCAGTCTATGAGGGGCCCGCCCCTCCAGGTCAACCTACCAAAAGGCCTCACCACTAGGGTGCACCTTCAGGTGCTGGGATCTGGGTTGTGCTAGCCTACTGGGTCTCAGCCCACAGCCTCACGTAGGCTAGGCACTGTTCACCAATCCTGCTTGAGAGGGGGATATGTGACTGAAGTCACTACAGCTCCCTGTTCCAGCAAGTCTGCACAGACCCAGAATGTCCTCTGTTGGTGCCTCCTAGACTGTGGGAAAGTTCCAGTTTCCCTCAGTCATCTGAGGTCGATGCACGGCTCCCCGCCTGCCCAGCTCTTAACTTCATTCACTGGTTCCTGTTCTCAGTGCTTTTGTGCGTCTCCCTGCCAAGCCGATTCAGATGCAGCTGAGGCAACAGGAAACCCAAATCACGGCTTTGAATGGCACGGGCTCCATCTTCCACACTCAGGCTTTATCTGGTCCTGTTATAGCACCAGGATTGCATTCCCAGTTGGTATCTCTCAGCCCAGTTTGTTCTTGGGTCAGCAGGATATATCTCCTCTTGGTTAGGATTCTTCCCTCCACACCATTCCTGGATTCTAAGCTGGGTCTCTGAGAGAGCCTGCGTAACTGCTGCTATCTATCCACCATGTTCTCTGGATCTCATCCAGGAGGAGTTATTCTAAAACAATATGTCCAATGGGCATGTATCATAAATGTCTTTTATGATATAAAGAATTTCTACATATGAAGTAAATATTTCTATAATATAGAGTTATATTGAGTTAAATTTATGAATAATAATAGAAATATTTAAATATCTTTTATGTTAACAGAATGAGTAGCTCCTCAATATGAGTATAAATCTCATATAAAATGATCTTTCAAAATCTGACAAAGAATGAGAAGAAGAAAAGTTTACAAGTGGAGTGTGGAGAGAAGTGTTAGATGATGTTAAAGAACTCTATGCTATTAGCAGTCGTGAACTCCATGAATCAAAAAAAAAAATGAGACCCTGGTTTCTAGCTTCAGATACTCTCTTGATCTCTTCACCACTTAAAGGCCATCTGTGTTCCATGATTTTCAGCTAGCCAGTTATCTATCTCTGAATACTAAGCAAACTTTGATACCAGCATGTACCATCATGCACTATTATACATCACTTGTGTTACATGGTATGAGCTGATATGTACTTGGCTGCTTGTAATAGTTACAACATGAAATAATCTTAACCTGTCTTCTCTAATAAGTTCCTTGCAACAGAAGGAATATTTTTTCTGAGGTAATCATTCCCGCTGAAGCAAACAAAATTCAATACTGTGTGCTTATACTGGACTATGGCATATTTGTACCAATGCAGAATTCACTATAAGTATTTATAACTACTAAGCTGACTTTAGAATTGAGATACAATTATTTTGCTATTTACCATTGACTTTCTATGTTCTCGTTTATTTGAAACATAATGCTA